AAGAGTAAAATTAGATACATAATTTAATAGTACAAAGTTGAAGTGCTTTTAACTATAAGGATATTATTATAATCAGAAACTATTTTAGACATTTTATTATGATTTTTTTCTTAAGTCCAAAATTATCTCATAAAATTTTTTCATAATTTTTTAGCTATTTCAAAATTTTTTCTTCTCTTAAAGCAAACTATAAAAATTACATCTCAAACACTAATTTCATCAATTTCAAGAAATTTATAACTTATAACATATTTTGTAAATATATCCAACTACTGATTATAATCTATTTCTATTCATTTTTACTTTAAATTCAAATTTATAATTTTTTAAGAGGTATTTACAAGCACTAACTTAAATACAAATCCAACTGGTCGTATATAATTTCATTTCATAATTATTTGTGATCTTTTAGTTTAAATTTTTTGAATAAACAATGAAATTAGAAATATAAAATACTCCTAATTATAATCCTAACTCCCTAAGCATCCAGTTCAAATAGAGCTAAATCCAAAAAAGAAAAACTATAATTAGCAATTTAGTCAATTTATTTGGTTGAACAGAAATAGCATTGTTGCATGTTGGTTTAATTCAGTCAAATTGGAGTTGCAAATTGGTTCAGTTTGGTTAGTAAAAATGTTACTTCGGTTCTTGATTGATTTGAGTAGAGAAATTACAGCAAGGTCAAAGGTTGGAATTATTCTAAATTTTCTTTTAGGTTAAAGAATTGGCAGGTGGGATATTTTTAGTTCATGAATAGGTAAAAAGTTGACTAAAAATTGTATCATTTTTTTTATGTAAATAATTAACTAACCACTAGAAGATTGATGGGAAATCAAAATGACAGTTTTCTAAGGTTTTTTAAAAAATAAAAATTAATTTATTTTTTTGACAAATTAATTTTGGTGAGATCTATCAAAATATTCAAAATTAATTCTATTTCTTTTTTTAAATAATTAGAGAAAATCAACTTTTAGATAAATTAAACACAGTCTCATTTGTACTTAGTTATTTTAAAGAAATCAATTTATACGTATTACAAGATTATTATCTTCTTGTAAAAAAAAAATATATACTTGTTAGGATATATAGTATTAATAGCTTATATCTTAATATCACTCTTTTTCCTTGTCTGATGTGAAATTTATAATACTTTTCTCTACTTTAATTTTTGATACTCTCATAAGTAGGAGTTCGGCGCCTCTCCCCACCCTACCTATCTCCTCTTAGAGTTGCTTACGGGAATCTAGATGCATGCATGATATTTTCATGAACCAAATTCCATGAGATCTTGAGTACCAAACCAGGTTGGGTAAAATATTTGGCAAGGGTGGAGGTTGGGGTCACGAGATTTGGAACGGTGGCAGATCACCGAGACAATGGGTAGGGTGGCTGTTCATGGAAATCTACAAAAGCTCACCATTTTTTTTTTCTGAAATAATAATAAAAATAAATAAATATCGATCATACAAATTTTAAAAGAGTAATTTCACTTAAAAAATGTTTAAATTAGAATGCAAGACTTAATTTAATTGTTAAAACACTGATAAAATACTTATAAATTTCATATAAAAAATAAAAAATTAATTTTTAACTCCTCTATTTTTTATTTTTTAATTTTAATCTTTAATATATTAAAAAATAAAAAGACTTAAATCAAACCGATGCACTTCAAACTCGGCGTGATCTTAAGGCCTCACTTTTTTATTGTTTAGAAACAGGAATTTAAATTATTTTCTTTTAAAAATTCGGTTGGACTTTTATTGAAGGACAATTTATACCCAGAGCTTTTAATGCATAGTGTCAAAGGTGGTTGGCAGCCAGCTGCCTCCTCTTTTGACTATTATCCAAACACTGCCTTAGAATGCATAACTGTCTACTTCTTGTGTTCTTAATGAATTTTATCATGGTAAAATAATATTTTTTAATTTGACTAATGACGGCATTATTCCCTCAACAACACTTATTAATTATTAACATTCATATTAATTTGTAAAAGAAAAAATAATTTTGCCACTTTTCAATACCATACGAGTCATAGTACACACACATAGATACATATATATAAATTCAATTTATTGCGATAATATTATTCACATATAATATATAATTTCAATAAAAAATAAAAAATGAATTTTTACAAAGTAAAAACATTTAAACTTCATTCCAGGTGGGACTTTAGTACTGTAACACTAGCGCGAGCTGATGCCTTGATTTAATTCCGAAAGAAGAAGAAGAAGAAGAAGATTACTAGTAAGTGGGTGGCTGGTCAAAGTTGCAGCCTTTTGTATGAAAGATCTGTTTGGCTGCTGAGAAATTTACAAATACAAACATAGAATTGAAGGTCTCCGGTTCAGCATAAAGATTAAGGCCCATCTACATCTACAACCACCTACCAACTTGCATGTGTCACACATTAATGAAATTAATTCATCTGCATGTGTCAAACATTTAAGAAAACTACATGATACCTAATATCAAATGCAGATAACTATAGTCGTGACCGAGAAAAATCATTGAGGATCATGCCCCATCGATGCGCATCTGTCACATTTAAGTGCCAATCAATGAACTTAAATTCATGTTCAAAACCTTTTTTTTATCTTTTTTAACTAATAAAAAAATCAAATCTTAAAATTTACCCACTTTTTATTTATTGAAAGTGCTGAAATTTATATGTAAATTAAAAAATACGCAAATTCAAAAAAAACTCAGACCAATATATAATAAGATTATACGAATATAGATTGTCAAGCCGATGGACTTGACCAATTGATCAGAGAACGAAGGATATGAAGTAATTTCTTTTTAAAAAACGAGGACTTTATTGTAGTATGCGTGGTCTGCCTCAAGCCAAGTCCTCCTAAAATTGTTCTTCAATTCAGATGTCGGGTACGGTGTTTATGGTAGTTTGGTATGAACTAACTTAGAGGTCAAGGGGCCCCCCTCGGGGCTGTTTGGCTTTTGCTGGCTTTTCTCACTGTCAACTTTTAGTGCTTGGAAAAAGCTGGCATTGAATGGGTATTTAATAATCTGTAAAAAAGTATATATATTTTATAACATAACCCCAAGTGGAGGAACAAAATGTGAAAGGAAATACCACCACTAATTTAAATCTCAGGTTAAACTTTATGACTTACTTTTGCTTTTACCTGTTGACAGAACGTAACTTTTAAGCTCACTTTGTTTGATGATTTGACTTTTAGGGTTAATGTATTTAGTTTTTCAATTTTTAAAATTTATAAAGTAAATATAGTAATTTTTAATATATAATAAAAATTAAAATTAAAATAACATAATTTTTTTACTTTAAAGTCTTTCTACTCAACTACTTTAAAGTAGATAGAGTCAAAAAAATATTTCAAGTCATTGAGAAAAATAAGTATGAACGTATTATGGATTTCCATTGGAGTATGCAAAGATGGGTTGTATGAATCCTGCTGCGCTTTCTCAACATTGATTAGAACATTTTTTAAAAAAAAATTATAAGTATTTTTGTTCATTTTATTATTTAAAATTAATCATATTATGTTACACTTTTTTCAATGTATATTTCTACATATTTAAATTTGATTATTTTCTATACATATACAAATATTTTTATCATTTATATCTGCCACTGCCATCATCATTCGGTATTGATTAAAACCACGTTGTGGTGGAAAACTGCGACCCACCACGGACCGTTGTGGGTCAAGTGGCCGCGTCCACCCTCGTTCTGGTTGGTCAGTGAATATAAAGGCTTTCTTGTACTCCCATTGGAATGGCAATTTGGAAAACAACTTCCATCCTAGCACATTTTAATGCGATTAATTTTATTTTTATTATAAATTAATTAGTAATAGTTTACTATACAACTTTTGACACGTGGCATGTACACAAATATTTTATCTTAGTTTGTTATTATTTTTGTTGTGATATTTTACATTAAATTATATATTATATATTATATTTATATTAAATTTTTTTAAAAAAATCTGGGTTGAAATGGGAAATGATATGAGAACAACTTGGCCTTGTTTTTGTCAAGTGTTAACAGCAAAACAAATAATACAAGGCTGAATAGATGTATAATGAGTAAGTATACTTTGATTACTTGCCACGGTTACATTTGAAATAAATAACAAATATTTATTTTGGGTAAAAAAATTGTGTTTAATATTAGTGATTAATATTTATTAAATTAATAAATATTAAAACGAGTGATCTAATGGATCAAAAACTAATATTCAATAAACATGGCGTTGCAGTGGGGCTCAAATTCCGCTGCCTGACTCGATAAACTTGGGTCCCCTACCTCTGATCCACTTGAGCGTCTTGTACATGTCCAACTTGTCTTTCTGTTTACTTACTCTACTTGGGCTTGGCCCATCCTTGTAAAAGTGTAAATTTGGCCGTCCCAGAAAAAATTTGAGGTACCCTGGCCCAACCCCACTCAAAAGCCCACTAATTGTTGATGTTGGCATTGTTTCTCTCAAGTTCAATTATCATGAACACAGAGAGACAGACAGAGAGTCAAAAAATTAAAAATTAGAGGGCGTGGTTAAGCGGCGGTTGAATACTTGAAATTCAACGTTCACCCATAAAGCCTAGTTTCAAGTCCCTGTAATTCTTAGTCATAGCTATTGAATGAGGCTAAAACTACCATTCCAAATTCTAGGTGTACTATATATATATATATATATATATATATATATATATATATAAGACTTTGCTTAGTGTTCCATTCTACCTTGGTTTGCCATCTATTCTCTTGGTGTCACTGTATACACAGAGTATAATCTGCCATTTAAAGCTATATATATATTGGAGTAGAGGAAAATATCCATGGTATCGATTCCTCTCTATATACTGGGAACCATCATCACAGTTTACGGGCTAAATAAATAGAGACTTTAGTGGATTTGTCCCACAATTCATCAAATGGCTGAAGTTTTAAACAAGAGGTGGGGAAAATCATAATTACACTTTTTAAGGGGGAAAAAACTGAACCCTCCAACGGATCACAAGTAGAATGGACTGACAGGAGGGTGGAAGATGGGAATCTTTGTCATGGTCTTGTTTCGCTCAATTACATTTTGTGCCACAGAGTCCTCCACCTCAACGGGATTAACTGGCACCACCCTCTCCGGTACAACCTTGTCTCCATCAACCTTAGCCAACACCTCAAAATGCATCTTCACGGTCTCAGGCTTGGTCCTCCACTTGGGAAAACCCTCCCACCCAGATCCCTCCCCTTGTTTCAATTCTCTCTCTATTCCAAAACCTATCTTTACAAATGTCTGAGCAGACACATCTGCCTTCAACAATTTAAAAGAACCTTCCTCGTCAGCCTTTGGCCCAAAACTGAATAAAGGAGCTTCTCAAAACCACGCAAATTAGAGTTGGAGCCATTGATTGAAGTAAGAGGCCAGAGTGTGGTGAAATGTTTGGGAGTGAGAAGGGTAGGGGCTTCTCCTTGGAGATGGATGGTGGATATTGATTCGGGTGACTTGGTCTTTGATAGCGAGGATAGCTCCACAAGTCCTGGGGCTAGGCGCTTGAGCTTGAGCCTGTTAGTGGAAGAGGGTGAGGTAGATGGGGAGGTGAGAGAGGTGGGGCCCACGATGCGGAGGGAGAGCAGGGGAGAGTTTTGGGTGCAGGAAGTGTGGCGGAGGTGTTCAGCCAGAGCAAGAAGACCCGAAGCAAAACTATTTTGGGATCGGTTTAGGGGAAGTGGGAGCTCAATTGGATGCCGCAAGCTAACTGATCTGGCACCTTTTACAGTGACCATGGCACCTTCAGCTAAGATGACCTTTCTCAACACACCCGCATCAACATCATGCTGTATATTAGAATCAACAGCAGAGTAAATTTCCAATTTGAAGAATAAGAAAAGAGCTTATAACAAAGTTACAAGTAATAGAATCCATGAACCACTTGAAAAATTAAGGTCAGAACATTTCCTAAAGAACGTCTATATATGACCTTAAGTTCTGTTGCATTTGATGAAAACATTCCAGAAGGACACATGTGAAAGCTAAGTGACTGAAAAGAAAGACAAGTATATTATTTGTTAGACAGGTTAAGTAAATTGTGAAAGGGGTTCATGATTAATGTGATCAAAATTCTACCTGATAACAAAGATGCAACTGCAATTTCCCATTGTTAAATCATGAAACCTAACCTCTGATTTTGTGGTAACTTTCAATACTCACCATCAACATTCTAACAGAAAATGACAATTGAGCTTCAAACATAAGTACAATTCTATCGCAAAGTCCATAGTTTCACTTATTCCTTTCCATAACTAAATAAGAAGAGTGAATATGAATCAATCAAGAATTTGTTCATTAAATTCTCAAATTCATAGGTCAGAAAAAGATATTACTAGCAAGTTATTATAAGGTTGAAGTTGTTCCCCAAGAAAAAACCAGCCAAGGTAATCATAGAAATTTTGGATTCAGTCCAACGTGCTGTTTCTAAGTTCCCAACCTAATACCTTGAGATCCTAATGTGCAAAATCACCATGAACTCATGGTGCTTATACTTTGATTTGAACATTGAAAATAACAAGCAAATAGGTTATACTGCAGTACAACTCGACACCAAGTATGGGATAACATTTTTTTACCAATTACCAATGCTTTAAATTCCTATGCTCTTCAAATGACATGGTGAAAATAGAAGTAAAATGCTAGACTGTAGCAATCTTTTCTTTTCAATTTTTTTTTTAATCTTTCCTTTAATTCATTCATTCATTATCATTCCTCTCCCAAATTCCAAGAGGTGAAGACCCGGGGGGGGGGGGGGGGGGGGTACTCAGAATATACTAAAGTATATGCAGTTGAAACGTAATACAGATTAGAGAAAACACAATTCATAACACAGAATTCAAATAAATGAAACTCACTGGCAATGAAAGCCTCATATCTTTGGCGTCCTGTATCCACAATTCCATTGGACCTGCCAGCTGAAACGGAGACAAAACAGGCAACCTATTTTCCATTCCCCGCCTTTCAGCCAAGGCATTCTCCTCTTGGAATATAGGCAAATCTACGTCTTCCCATCGGTTTACATCCTCCAAGAGCTTAAAAGGAAGAATTTTATTATCAATCTCCACATCGAACTCATAGGCAACAGACCGACCCACCAAGGCGTCTCTCAAATCAAATCCAGAAATTTTTAGGTCTTCCGCTTGTAATCCTAACCCTTTCACAGTCGCCTTTTTCAAGTCCTAAAACACCAGAAGCTAATACAATATCAACAATCCAACAGCTCCCAATGCCTTACAAAAAACTTAAAAACAAAGTGATGATATCGTAAAGGGCAAGGACAAACTCCATTATTCGTTACTTCAAACTAAAATCCTAGCACAGCTTGAACACGGAACATTAGTTTTGAAATTAGAATTGTAACAATTTGAATGTGTTATAAGAAAACAATTCAAATTCTACGACAAAATTTTCTGTAAGGCGAAAATGATTCAAACTTCCCTTTTTGTATATGCCTACCGCGTAACCAAGTAGGAATTGATGAAACAGAAAGAATTGATCGCAAGTGCACATTGGTTTTTACTTACAAGAATGGCTTTCGCGTATGGAGAATTGACCTCTGGGGAAGAGATCAGAGCCGTCGCCGGTGACTGGATCGTAGCGAGCACCAGACACACAATGGCAAAATTGAACGATCTGCAAGCCATCAGAGAAAGAAGAGAGAACTGGGATCGAAAAAATTTTGGTTTGGATTGAGTAGGAATTCGGACGATGAATTGGGAAAAATTAGGGTTGTTTAAAGGGTTTTAAACTGTTTAGGACAGGGGACTACCTAGGATGCTTCAGACTCACAAATTTTTGGGAGTTCAGCATTGGTGATGGAGATTCGCAGGAATGATGACGTGACTAGGAGAACCAATAAGATTGGAGGAAGTGACATGAAATCGACGATTATTGATCGAGCTTCGCTTGTCAGCAGGAAAAACCCGGTTGGGTTCGTGACCGTTGACGTGGAACATCACCGGGAAAGTTGGTCGAAGGTTTACGACTCGCAGCGTGGTCCCAACATGCTAGGATTAACCCATTGTAACGAGGAAATCAAATAACAAACTGCCCAAATGGCGTCACCCGGACTCGAACCGGAGACTTTCCCTGTGTTAGACCGACGTGAAAAACACGGTTAGGTTCGCGACCGTTTGACGAGGAAGGTCACCGGGAAAGTTGGTCGCGTCACCCGGACTCGAACCGGAGACTTAGACCGACGGGAAAAACACGGTTAGGTTCGCGACCGTTTACAGGGAAGTTCACCGGGAAAGTTGGTCGAAATTTACGGCACTTCGAGGATTCACCCGCAATAAGGAGAAAATCAACAAAAAAAATTTTAAATTGCTCGATTGGCGTCGCCCGGACTCGAACCGGAGACCTTCAGTGTGTTAGACTGACGTGATAACCAACTACACCACGACACCGTGGTGGATAAACGTTAAATAAGAAATATGTTTTTTAAATTAAAATGATATTTTTATCGGGCTTGATCTTATTTTGGGGGCCCAAATGCGACGGTCGTTCCAAGGACGTGTTGATAATCTGTCTCTTATTTTTTAGGGGAGGGGGTTAAAAAAGGTTCAGTTCTTTTTCCAAAACAAAAAAATGAATTTTTTTGCCTCTATTAATTTAAAAAATTGAACACAAAATCCAAGTATTAAACGAGTATGTACGATTTTAATTTTAATAAAAGTTATAAACTATTATAAGTTGTTCAACAATCCTATAAATAATATAATTTTGAAAGTTTTAACGTGGATAATTGTGATAAATTTATATTGTATTAACATATTTTTTTATTTATGAAAATAAGTTTCTACAAGATTATTTACAGAGATAGGTAAATTTTATGTACATTGAGACATAGTTACTAAGGATCAAATTTTTATAAAAAAAAAAGGGGGGGGGGGCTTTTGTAGGATTGATTTCTTCGCAAAAAATCAGTTTGGGAGACCCGATTTTCCTTGACCATTTTTACATTTTAACGATTGTATCTATTAGATGGAAACTCTGTAACGTAACTCTTGTCTTGACAAAAAGTTCGGTAGCAATTGATATAGGAGATTTGGACCTGTTTTCATGTGGGAGAGAGAGCTCTCAACTTGATGAAAGAAAGCAGAATTTGGATTTCTTCTTAGATTACCAAGCATTGTGGTTGGTTGCGAATAAAATAGAGGAAATGAAATGAACCATAATCCAATCCTAGAAGTGTTTCTATTCTCTTCAAATTTTCATACCAAAGAGTAGGCTTTTGAAATTAAAAAAAAAAAAAAAAAAAAAAAAAAACAAAATTATCATCAGTCCAGAGCTCCTATCTAAAGATGGGAGCCCAAGCATGCAGAGACAAGAGTCGCACTCTCCAGCCGCCCATTTGCCGTCACCTGACCAAAAAATCTCCGAAAATGTTGATTTTGCTGTTATGAACGTTGAATTCAATTCCATGAACTTAGTCCTGCCTGAATTCCTTCCATCCCGGCGGCAATGAAAAGATTGTCAGTTTCATTGCTTTCCCATTTTATTGGTTTTTCCATTATCATTTCGTACTTAATTCTTTTAAATTTCAACTACTAAAATTTTTAACCGTCCAAAATTATTTGTTAAAATTTACATGATATATTATAAATTAATTATTAATAATTTAGATATAATTTAAAATAAAAGAAAATTAATATTTATTCAATGCAATGGCATTTCTGGCATGAAACTCTACTTGAAAAAGCTTTCAAGAGTACAAAGCATTTTACTAACCACAATAAAACATGTGATGGGAGATCACATAAAAGGGACCATTTGAAATTGAATTAAATGGTTGGACTGAATTGGAAAGAAAGATACGGCTCTTAATGATCCAATGCTACCCAAAAGGGCAGCACTGTTTTATCCGACGGTACAAATCCAAGGTGGGCACCGCCCACTCGTGGTTTCATCGCCGTCGGCTGCCGCGCGTCAAAACGTCTATATTTACTGTATTTGTATTTAGTTAATTTTTACGTAATGAATTTTGCCCATTTTGGTTTTTGAGATGAGAAGTGCTTTTTTTTAATAGTTTACATGTAAAAAACTTAATATTCGTGAGATTTCTCACTTATTCTTTTTTTAAAAAAGGAATTCATAAATTGTGTATGTATTTTATGATAAAAATAACGAGTTTTTCTTAATAAAAAATAATTAAGATTTCTGTTAAAGATAAATATTGTAAGGAGAGAGAGCAGAAAGATAAAAATTAAAAGATATAATTGCAATTAAGAATAGAGTTAGAGATAAGATTATTTATGTTATTTTATTTTAGTATTTAGATAACAATAGATTGAAAAGATTAGTATTTAAAAATATTTTCATTCCGGAAATTGTGTTTGGATTAGGGAGGGTTTTCTCCAAGTTATTTTGGTATTTAATTTAGACTTGGGAGACCATGTCCTTGAGTATTGTTGTGTTTGACATCAATTTTAATTTTTTAATTAATTTTTTATGGAACTATTCTTACTTTGACAAATCTCTTATATTTTCAAATTAAAAAAAATCAAATACCTCAAAAAATTAATTTTTTTAGACCATCAAAGAAAAATGCCTTAAACCAAAAATTTCCCATATACCAAAAATTTTGTTGATTTGTCACGCCCCGAACCCTGGGCCCGTGACCGGCACTGGGATCCACCAACCCCAGTAAGCCTCAACAAAACTAGTCAAACTCCAAATATATAAAACATACACAAAGTGTAATAATATAACATCTAAAAACTACCCGGGATCCTGTCTGAGAGTACAAGGAAGCTACTCTAGAATACAATCATGTAAAGTACAAAGAGAAATGCCCGTACATCCATCAAGTCCGCTGTCGTCGACTCCCACGTGGCACGCTAACCGAGGTGAGTGCAGTCAAAAGAATCTGGAATGTTTAAAACTATGAGTCGCGAAACTCAGTGAGTACGGATGATACCTAATCTATGCATGTCAGGATACATATCATAGCACAAGTCTAAAACCTTAAGCATACAGCGATCAGTAAAACATATCAACATACACTCAAAAATGCTATCAGCCAACATCAAATCACATCACAACACTTCACGTCACAGCACTGGACCCAGGCCTACTCACCACTAGACGCTACGGGTCACCGTACTCCAGCTGAGTCCCTGGCATCGCAATCACCTCACATGACCCAGGCCGACTCACCACTGGACGCTACGGATTTCCGCACTCTAGCCGAGTTCCTGCCGTCCCCAAATCCCATCACTGGACTCAGGCCACTCACCACTGGACAATACGAATCACCGTACTCCAGCCGAGTTCCTGCCGTCCCTCAAATCACATTCGCGGCCTCTGCCGCCCGCGGCCCCCGCCGCCTCACATCACACATCACATCCGCGGCCTCTGCCGCCCCGCGGCCCCCGCCGCCTCACATCACACATCACATCCGCGGCCCCCGCGCCTCACATCACACAACAATCCTCACATATAAGCCAAAAGCAATATACATACGCTTATACAGTTCACATCTCAAAACTAGTATCACATACTAACATAAATCATTAACAGTTCACAAAACACATAACACATCCCGAGCATAACATATAATCATATATAGTTTCCAAAACCACGTAATCATCATGTAAGAGAATCACAGTATGAAAACACAAGCATAGAGAAGATATCATCACTCACAGTACAGACGCTAAGCCAAAACGAGAGTCCCGAGTCACCTAACCCGACTCAGTGATCCGAATGTGCCCCTGCCTGCGAATCTGCAATCAAAATCACACAAAACCATCACAACGCCAAAACCGGCACAAGAAACAGGCTCGGTAGCCTCAAACTGAACTAAAATCCCAAACCGGCCCCTGGGCACGCATCTCGAGGCAACCCGACCTGTCACCAGAACCTACGCGACTCAGTAACACTGAACAAATCTACTTAACCACCCTCAAAACTACGGAACCAGCCTCCACAAAACTCGAACCGCAACGAACCGATCTCCAAAACCCACGAACCGGTTTAGCCCGATCTAAAACTATCTCCGACTCAACTCAAACGGCCACGAAACCCTCAAAATCGGATTCAGAAGGCCCAAAAACCCTAGGAACCACTATGAACCGGCCAAAAATGGCTCAAACCAGCTCCGAACCGGCCAAAAACCCTAATCCTAAGTATCGGCACGCAAACCGAGACCAGTTCACCTCGAACCGGGTGCCCAATAATTTCCCGAACCCACTTGGTCTGATAGCCCTCATCCCCCTGAACTCAGAACCGGTCCAACTCCCAAAACCAAGCCAAAATGGCCACTGAACCGGCCGGTCAAAGTCCCGGCGGTTCGGTCAAACCCCTTCTCTTTTTTTTTTTTTTTTTGCTTGAGCCGCCAGCCCAGCGGCTCGGCTCGGCTCAGCCGCGGCTCGGACCCGCCTGGGCTAGCCCACTCAACTGGGCCGGCCCAGCCCAAACACCCTTCTTTTTTTTTTTTTTTTTTTTTTTTTTACCGTGGGCTGGCCTGCGGGCCAAGCCCACCTAGGACTGGGCCCCAACTGGCCCAGTCCGGCCGAACCCCTGTGGCCCGGGTCGAACCCAACCCGGGCCCGAACCGCCCGAACCCGGATTCTTCATCCGGGTTCGTCCCTGTCGCCGGAAAGCCAACCCGATTTCCCGTCCGGGTCTGCAACAGACCCGG